GTCCTGTGACCTCATCCGGCTGTCTTGTCGTAAAAGAAGGCAGACTCTATAAGCAGTTCTGTTCTGGATAGTAAGCAAGCAGCCCTTTTGACAGATTTTTCGAGTGTAGAGCAGTTCTTGGTCAAAGGCGATAGGCTGGCTTCCACAGCTTAAACGAAGAGGGGAGCAAAACCCAGGAGTCTGATGAATGCTGTTTACAAGCTATATAATATGTGTGACTATGTTCTGGGCTACATGCCCAAAAGTAAAAAGACCTAAGGACATTCACGAACACGACTTGGGAATGCAAGTTCAGAGCACAAGGCGAGTAGGAGGCCTGAAAACTCCGTTCTGCCTCCATATATGGTTTTCCAAGGCATTCGCTACAGCAAACATCACATAATTTTGACACTATCATCAATTTTGCTACTATGACTGCCCTTAACTTATTACTGTTGCTATTACTACTGTTATTCTGACATATTCTGACTATAACAACTAAAAAATAGTTGCTGTTTACTACTGTATTTATGCCTGTTATTGTTACTGCTGCGAATATCGTTGTTGTCATTATTATGTTGGCGGCTAGAGATGGCTCGTGCATAGTTCAAGGTTTAGGGTTTTTCTTGGGTTCGGTGTTTAAGGTTTAGGACTTGAGGTGTTTGGGGCTAAGGGTTTAGGGTTGGTTTAGTTCATAGTTCTTGTAATATGTCTCAGAAATCGTGGAAACGGCAAGCACAGTACTATTGGCAGTACTCTTGAATGTGACGGACTTGCAGAAAAATCATCACGTAAGATTTGGACAAAGTTTGAAGGTTACTTTCATGCTTTGCTCATCTACCGCCGGATTGTCACGAAAACCCAGATTCAGAATATGGATCCTGTACATGTGCATACAGAGGATTTGCAAAAAGTACACAGAGGACAGCATTGGTCGTGTAAGATTTTTCCAGTCATCTGTTGCGATTCATGAGGGCTTTTCGCAACGATCTCATTAAGAATGAATCCGTCATTTTTCATTGTTCGTGCCAAAATGGGGACCCTGCCACAGACAATGGCCATGCCCTGCGAGGCGGCCAGGAGGTTACTTAAAATTCGAGTCCAAGGGATCCTCGAGTCAAGAGGATCGTAGTGTCACGAAGTGTCTGCAGGGAGGAGAAGGTGGGGGGGTGGAATGATGCAGTCGGTCCTCCAGCTGGCGGGTGAAGCATGAACATATACGGCGTGCTTCGGGTCTTGTGCTTAGGGCTTCGCCTATTAAGTCATGTTTGTGGGGTTTGCTGCCCACGTCTCCTGTTGAACAACCTTCTGGTTTTTGGTTCAGCGTCCCTTTCAGGATTCTCCGTCCCACGCAGCAATTTTAGGCCAACCCATTATCACTCATCACTCATGAGGGCGAGGTCCGTTATCTCCTTCTGAGCCATTGGGTTAGTGTTCTATATCTATTCATAGAGGTTGGGATTCTGTGACCAAGTCATCCTTTCAAGATGACGGGTTTGCCATCCATCACATCCCTTTGGGGTCGGGGTCTGCCTCCCATCACCTCAGTCTCCGTTTTCAGATTTTGGAGTCTCTTTTCACCCATCTTACGCACCCCTGTCATGACTTTTCACATCGCATCGTTTGTTCAATTTGAGGTTTCGGGTTTGTTACCCGCCCTACGCTCTATTCGTGGGGTCTGGGTATATCTGCGGGTTTTGCCACCTATCGTTCCCCATTGGTCGGGTCGAACCTTACCCAGGGTTTGCTTCCATGACGTTTTTCGGTGCGTGTTTGGAAACCAGCTACCCAATTTCAGGAACATATCCGACCCGGGCTTGAGGTTTTGGGCATTCCGCCAATGTTTTTTATTTTCGGTGCTCGGTGCTCGCTATTCCTCTGAGGGGTTTTGGGTTCAAATTGTCAACTGTGCCTACTACGCTTTGAGCTTCATGGGCACCAGTCATCACTTTAATGATTCATCACTGGTAGCTAGGATTGTGGGTATTGGGGAACTAGTAAACATTTATTTCTGTTCTGTCCCCAGGTTTACCACGCAACAAGTCTTTGAAAAGCTTTGCGAATCTGTTTATTATGAATTATGATGCTTTGCTTGTATCCGACAATGTATTGTGGTTTTCCATCTTCTCTTACCAATAGGAAGTTGAACATGCTACCTGTGGCCGAGAAAGGCAAGCACAGCCTCCCACCCTCTCTGTATATCTACGGTTAGCAGATGAGACGGGGCGAGAATGGTCGTGCTGGCACAGGTTGAAAGATCCCTGTGACGATGTTCGGCTGTCGGCAGCTTGGGGATTGTCCAGGCCACGACAAGGATCGCTCTTCGGCTCCTCTTCGGTGACCTTTTCCCTGCCAGGATGCCAAAGCTCTCCCGCGCCGCGGCCCTGTCCTTGGCACGGTGCCTGGAGGACCCGGCTGTGCGCAGCTTCGCTGTCGAGGCGGGGGGATGCAGGGGGCGGAGATGGGCGGAGGGCGGAGGGGCGGATTTGCAAAGAGCGACAAAACAAGCCAGGCATTGAGCTTGAGGGGTGACCTGGGCGCCTCTGTTCTGGCGACGCAGCTGGCCTCGCAGCAGCAGGAGAGCAGGTTTCCAGAGCGTATGCCAAAGCCTCTATCTTTGACAACACCAGGAGGCCCAGCAGGTGGCCACTTCCGGCCTTCAGAAGCTCGGCGAGGCTGGGGCACGTGCCGCGGTTGAGATGCTGAGTCACGAGAGCCCCGCCGTCCGAGCCCCGGGCGCTGTGCGCTGCGAAGCCGACGAAATCGTAGAACTCAGGGCCGACGTCGAGCTGCAGAGCTGCTTGCTTCGATGGGCCCAGCCGGAGACCCGGCTGATCAATGCGAAAGGGCCCAAAAACACTCCCACGATTACGGCCGTCTCTCTTTGGAGGCAGCCTCCCGTGCCCTGGCGCCCTCGCTTCGCGACAAAGACGCAGACCTCCGTCGCCGAGCCGCCGAGGACAGCAGCGAGTTTCACGCCTCTCAGAATCTGAGCCAACAGCTCGCCCAACTGGCTGCAAAGGTTTTAGGGCGCTTGGGCTCCGCAGCCGCAGGCGAGGTGAAGGCCTTGTCACGGCTTCTGGAGGTGGGGGTTAAGGGCAACACCGACGTCAAAGCACATCCGACTCGGCATCTGCCCGCTTGCAGGATCCAAACCCTTATGCACGGATCAGCTCCGACCTTGAACCTGTCCACTGCTGGAATGTAGAATCAGGTAAATGCCCTTGAAAAGCCGTGGGACTGTAGATGGATTATATAAACGAGGCGCCGCACGTTCTCTTCGAGCTGAAGGCCTCAAAGAAGTGGCTTGCTTAGTCGGCTTCGTCGCACGCTTGTTTCAGAAGTTTGAGACTCGGCGCCGGGAACACCCTCTATGCTTTGCAGGCGGCTGTGCCTTGCCGGCCCAAGTAGAAAATATCTCAAGCTGACTCTGAGGCCGCCAGTGCAGCGGGAGTGCCCGAAGAACGAATTACGGCTGCCCTCAACAGCAGACAGGTGGGAGAACGGTGAGCAATCGCGGCAGCTTTTGGAGGCGGGATTTCGGAGTGAACTTGACAGGTCCCTCGCAGAGCTAGAAGACCTCGCTTTGCCTTGTCACAAGCTTGACCTCATTGCGATTTGGCATGGCCAAAGAGGCTGTGCTGTCTGCGCGACAAGCAAGTCGTCAGAAAGAGAATTCTGCAAGCAGTTGCGTTTGCACTGCTGTGGTTTTCTGCATGTGTTAGATTACCCCGCAAAGTGCTTAAACCAGCCTCGTCTGTTCGTCGTCATCTACTTTGAGATTTAGTTGAGCCTTTCAGTTTCAAGGGCTCGATGCCTGGAGTGCCTGTGAACAGCGCAAGCACGCGATGCTTTGATGGCCGCGGAAAAGGTGCAAAACAACGCAACCGTCTTGGACAACGTGCTACTGGCTGTGCACTTTGAATGCAGGTGCTGGTGCTGTGCGTGACTTGACACAATCCTTGACGCAAGCGAACTGGAGGAAGAGACGAGCTTGGTACGATGCAATTTTTGATCTCAGCTTTGGGCCAAGTGGTCATGCAAGGTCTAAGGTAAGCAGCCGACCTGCGATACGCAGCTTATCGGCAAAGACTGGACAGATGCCAACGCTGAAACCCTCGGCGATAAGACCTTGTGCTGACATGCTTTGAGCACGAAGCCGCACATACCATATTTAAAGGTCACATGTCTTGCTGAAAATGCCTCATGACACGACCTGATGGCAGACGAGTCGTTCCAGGCCACATAAGAGGACCAGGACGGAGGACAGGCTCTGCGGGTCCGTGCCAGGCGTCCCCTTCGCAGGGCTCCGAGCCACCCGAGTCCCTGGCATTGGCACGGAGCCCATCGGGCCTGAGGCTCGGCTGTGCCAGTGCCGGTCCGTTCTCGCGCGAGAGAGAGAGAGAGAGACTCCATCTTCTGCCATGTGAGGGCAGGGCAAAGCCAACGTTTCGAACAAATTCAGCACGAAGAACAGAATGGGCTGTCTTTGTCTCCAGTGCTTGTGTTGTTCATACTCGTGCTTTCTGCAAGTCTTGGTTTCAGTGATTGGAGGGAGGGAGGAGGTCAAGACCTTAGGTCCTTTCTTAGGTCCTTTCGTCTTTGCCCACGACTTCACGCGAGAAGTTGCCGGTTCGCTCGAGGACCGACCACCCGAGCTTTCTCCTGTAGTTGATGCGCTTTTACTTCATTGTGGAGTTGGAAAAGGTGGCTAGGGGTCTCGGCTTGTGTGGCTGCACGCCCGGGAAGAATCAAAACCGACACGGAGGACAGGCTAAGTTGCCGACGTGCACTGTGTCACAGGATGCTTACAGCGTGCAGAAGAAGCCGCTGGGCGAAGGTTCCTTCGGAAGCGCTTTCCGGGCGACGTGCAAGCCATCCCGGCAAAGTTTCAGCGAAGCTCCCGGCAAGGGTCTGACTCCTGGTTGCTGAAGGGCTGCTGGAAGACACTGATGTTCAGCTGACCCCTTCGGCGGACTAGCATTTTGGCTAAGATGATGAAGCCCTTGTGACTTCATGCCATGGCGTCCCACAGACACCTTTACTGGTGGATGTGCGTGGGCTGCGTGGTCTTGTCCGTTGTCCTTACAGCCTTTCCGGCAAACCGATGGAAGCTTGGTGCCTACTGGTAATCTTTTTCGAGATTCAAAACAGTCTGCAGATAAGTGGCCGTGGCCCGGCTGAGGAGTTGGCATCCCCAGGAGAACAGCGAAGAGTCTGGGTCCATGGATGTGAATTCCATCAACAAGGGCAGTTTCACGGTGGCTTGACTGGTGTCATTGTATCACCATGGCTTCGAGAGGAGGTTGAGGAGAAACACGAGTGGCATGCAATTTGTTGAAGGGCTCGTGTGTTGTTTGAGGAGACGGGAATACTCTGCAAGATTTTGTCTGCTCGTGGTAGTCAGCATGGGAGGCTGCAGAACTTTGCCTTTGGAGCTTCGTGCCACCATTTGACTCAAGCTCCTCACATGCACTTCACCCTCCGACGCCCAGGTAGCTGTCTCTGCTGCTTTCTCCGAGGTGTGCGATCGCTTCCATTGTAGTCGTAGCAGGCTTTTAGGTTCACACAGGAAGCGGATTCCTTTGCGGGTTTCGGGATAGAGCTGCGTGTGTCTCCGAACCAAGCTACTAGTAGCTGAGCTTCCCTCCAGGCAGAGTGTGAGGAGCTGCTCCGCTTGGCCGGGCCTGGAGAGGAGGCCATCAAAACTGTCTTTGCTTGACCCCCCCCAAAAAGCCTTAGAAATGTCCCCAAAAGACAGCCTAGAGAGCTTGTTTCTGTGTGCTGACACATGCAACACATGCTTATGTCCGCACCTACTGTTACAAACGCACTTACGTACATGCCTACGTACAGCATGCATACATGCATACATACATACATACATACATACACAGATACATTCATACACATACATGCAATACATACACATACATACACATACATGCACACACATGCACATACACAGGTACATACAGTTACATGTCATGTACAAACATTACATACATCTACATACGTTTACATACATGTACATACATTCACATAGATCTACATACATACACATACATCTACATACATTGACGTACAATTTACATACAGTTCAAATACATACACAAAATACACATACATACACACATACACACACAGACATACACATACATACACATACATACACATACATACATACATACATACATACATACACATACATGCACATACACACACCTACATACACACATATACACACATACACATACTTACACATACATACAAAGATAGATACATAGATACATAGATACATAGGTACATAGATACATGTACATAGGCATACATAGATACATATACATATTCATATACATATACACATACATACATTCATTCATGCATTCATACATTCAGACATTCATACATTCATGCATCCATACATGTGTACATACCTCCTTACATGCACATAGGCGAACGTGCATTGAGCGTGTTGAAAGGTTTCCATCTTAGGCTTCGGTCCATCTGCGCATATCAATGCTTCCGTCACTTTGCACATGAGGCATTGGTTTCTGGAAATCAAGGTCCCGGATATTTCAAAGAGGAGGCATCCTGCACAGCTAGGCCTGTTATGGCCTGTTCAGAATGCAGGATCAGAAAGCTACCGCCAGTTAAGGTGCGTGTGGCGAAGATGTATACCGTGAATCCAGATGATGCTAGGTTTCTAGACGCACTTCCACTCAAAATTTTTCTTCAAGGTCAGCCGTCATGCAAGCCGTGCTCAGGTTTCAATGGGTGTTCAAGCGTCTTTGGCAGATTGCGACCGAAACAAACCGGTTGCACTGGAAGCTGGGACGCTTGAAGTTCATGGAACCACTGAATCTGGTGAGCTGCCTGTCCGTGAAAGCGAGTTGTTGCATTTCAAGGGCTCGGGCTCTCTGCCACCCCGTTTGAAATTTCGGGCCTCCCGATCGTCTGCAGCTCGATGAGGTGGATTTCAGATAGCTTCCTAAGCCGCCTTCTGCAAGACCTTAGGCTATACTGCAGCTCAGCAGCGAGATGCCTGAGATCTGCAGTGTGTTCGATGCGTGGCCTGACTTGATTGGTCCTGGTGTTTCGTGTCTTCCGTCTTGAGGCCGCAGAAGATGGTGATGTCAATGGCCACTATGATTGGCATGCAGTGCACAGCCTACTGGATCGCCTTTTGTTGCATCGAACCTTCGACCAAACCCCAGAGGCCTCTTGGAATTGCTAAGGACTTGATGCCTGGTGCTGAATCGGAGGGGCGACTGCTATCTCTCTCCGTCCAGCTCTCCAGGGGGAGTGCTCCTTGGACTGTCCGACTTTTGTTTTGAGGTCTGTTGTTAAGGGTTTTGAGGGTGAATTCGTCCCGCGCACATCATCACGCAAGACGTCCACCCACCCAGTTTCAGACAACCTCGGGGTTAGTGCTAAACTTAGTAGTACGAATAGCAGTAGCAGTGTGAGTAGTAGTAGCAGCGGCAGTAGCACTAGTAGTAGTAGTAGT